GTCAGCCAGTGCAAACAGCCAATGCCCGACTTGAGCTCAGTGATCTCAGGTTGCGTCAGGGCATCGTCCTTCATGAGGCTCCTCCACTTGGGAATCGGAGAGAGCGACAGGGCTTTGACGAAGGAGCGCTGGGAAAGTGCAAGTCCACCATCATCCAGCCGGGTGATCTCCTTTCCACCATAGACCAACTTGTCCTCGTTGCGGAGGTCATGCCAGTCGCCGAAGTCAAAGCTCTCGCGAACCTTCTCCAAGATCTCGTCGCCAATGCCCGGCTTGCCGACGCAGACCAAGTCGTCCACGCGCGCACCAACTGCCAGGACCAGGAGGTGGTCGACGTAGAAAAAGAAGAGGGCCTTGTCCAAAGTTGACTGAACAAAGCCAAGCTTCACCAAAGTGTCCCGGAGGAATCGCCAGAAGAGTCTCGGGCTGTTGGCGAGGCCAAAGATGCCGCGCACCACGAGTAGCAGCTGGCCCGGTAGTAGACCTGGTAGTCCTTCTCGAGGCTGTCGGATGAAGAGTGGGTCCTTGCGCTGTGCCAGGGACTGATCGCCTTGAAGGAAAGCGCCTGTGATGTCAGCGCAAACCACGAACCAGCCGTCAGATGAAGCTCCCAGCTGCAGCAAAAGCATCAGGCCCAGGCGTGTCAAAGTGGGCGCATCACGCCGGAGCTCCAACAAGTCCGGGTCCGCATCTCCTCGACATACGATGCGAGCCTTTGGCTTGATCTCCAGCCAAGGTGTTGCTGCGTGCTTATCTCTGTAGCAAACTCGGGCAGCCAGGATGCGGGACTTGTCGATGTTGTTCTCCACGTAGCGGCTGCAAGCCGTATCCAAGACTTTGACCGCCTCATACTTGAGCCAGGTGTTCCACTCTTTGACCAAGGCCTGTCTGTAGAGCTCCTTCTGCTCATCGGGGATGGCGCTCCAAGGGAGTTCCTTCTCCAAGGCCTTGCGGTCTTTGCGAGACATGGTTTGAGGGTTCTGCCAATCCAACTGCACCTCGAAGATGCCGGACTGCGTCACCACCTTGAAGGTCGTAGTGCCAGTCCAGTAGTGGTCCATCGGGACGTTGGAGTTGGGTGGCAGCCAAGTGTCTCGTCTCACCTTCCGCTGTCCAGAAGTGCGCATCACCGTGATCCTCTTTGGTGACAGACTGTCCAGCTGGACGGGAAGATCTCGAGCTCGACAAGGGTCGTATAGAGCTCGACGAGGGCGTCGGTGAAGTCGGACAAGTAGGCCTCGCGGCTTATCGTAGTACCAGGAGTCCTTCGCGACCTCTGACAGCACCTCATAGACTGTAGAGTTCTCACCTTCTACACGAGATGTGGTGAGCAGAATCTCCATCTCCTCGGCTGATGGCATCACTGCTGCTTCGGAAGGGGCGGATGCCGATGGTGTCGTCCTCAACCTCTTTGGGTCCGGTTCCTTGGACCAGAGCTGTCCCACCGGAGTGCCAGGGGCTCGTGAGGTAGCCGGCAACGTAGTCAAGTCCGTGCCTGTCGAGTCCACGGCCTCGGATGGAGCTGGTGGAGGTAGTTCGGCAACAGGTTCATCTTCCATGTCTTCTGGAACAGGGATGTCTGCGGGGTCCACGACGGTAGGCGTGTACTCCTCATCAGGCTGGTCCAGGAAGAGGGGGACCTGATCAACTTCCTCCTCCTCAGGCGGTAGTGCTCCGTCTGCAGCTCGGAGGTCCAGGTAGTCGTCCGGAGGGTTCTCCTGCAGCTCCTCCAACACATGTTCATGAACAGGCCAAAGCTCTGTCCCGAAGGCGGGTCGAAGCTGTTCCTTGGAGACCAAAACACACTTTCCGTTGGAGCTGACCCAAAAGTTGTTCTGCTTGGCTGAACCATCACCTTTGTGTGGGCCGATGATGATCCCACGATACCATGAGGCAGGTATCCGTTTTCCCTTCTGGCCTTTTCGGCCTTGCTTGTACTTGGCTTCCCGCCAAAATGCCACCAGTGCGCCTGGTTCATAGGTCTCTCGAGGAGGATGAGATTTCCTCAAGATGGCGGTGCGAACCGCTTCATTCAATCGGTAGGCCGTCACCTTCTCATCGGCTGTTGCTCGGATTTGACTTCTCTTCCGGAGCTCACTGTCAACGTCCATAGCTTGCAAAGCTTCGAACTTGCCGTCCGGTGAAAGGACGTCGGTCGGTATGACAGGGCTCTTGCCAAACAGCCATTGGTAGGCCGAGCAGCCACTGGTTCGGATCTTGTCATTCATCGCGGCTGCGACGGCACATGCCATTGTCTTCATATCTCGGGCTCCTTGAAGTGAATATTGATCTATGATCTTCCGCGCAGTGTCCTTGAAGGCGCGGTTATAGGCCTCGATTTCGCCAGCTTGCCAGTGTGCTTCTGCTGGAGGTGTGTCAACCGTAGTTCCCATGGACCGAATGCGCTCCAGGAAATCACCTTCGAAGGCGCCATCTTTGTCCACCCATAGCACCTGAGGGTAGCCTGCCCAAGATGCCCACAGCATAGTGAACAGATCCCAAACGTCGCCAGGATCCCTGCTGGGGCTCGGGTAGAACACGTTGAACGAGCCGTTGGGTTCAAGGATGTGCAGGAACTGAAACATCTCACCCGCAACGTCCGGCACGTTCACAAAGTCCATGCAGAGCTTGGAGTTGAAAGCTCCAACCACCTTGAAGGAAGTGGGTCTCGGAATGCGTGGCCTCCGAGTGCGTTCACACACTGCACACTTCATTCGCCTGCTCAGCTCAATGGCCTCGGGCTCAACGTTTCCAGCTTGTATCAAAGCCCGGGTGAGGTCAGGCTGAGAAGGATGGCCCAAGTTCTTATGCAATTTGACCACGGTCGGTGCCAGCTTCTTCTGTTTGGCATTGAGTGGTGGCCCAACGAACCAATGCTCCCCATAGGACTGCTTCAGCAGCGTCTTCTCAGGGATCTCCACCAATGCCTGGTCGTCATACGGCACGATGTAGTGGTCTTTGGAGTCCTCTATGGCCACGAACTGCTTTGGAGGTTCCGGTTCTGGCCGAGGCTCTGCGGGATCGCCAGGTGCATATCCCAACACGAAAATCGCCACCCGCACCGGGGTGGCAAATCTCTCCCGTGGCGCCTGGGCTGTCTTCAGGTACTCAGTCTCAATGGTGAGGGTATCATCGTTCAACAGGAGGACTGAGCATCTATGGCAGTCTTCAAGGCCAGGTCGCACACGTTTTGCTTTGGGCAGGTGTGCCAACTGGATGTTCATCACCTGCCAGGGCACCAAGTCACAAATCTTCTTGTAGAGCTCGGAGTCGGGCGCCACGAAGACACTGCCTTGAACTTTCCTGGCCAAGACTTCTTCAGCTTCTGCAAGGAGTGGGCGCCACTTGTCTTCCTCCTTGTTGGCGTCCACAAACCAGATGCCAGTGGAGTTCTCGGCGTCGTTGAAGGTGAGCGTCCCGAAATCCTCAAGCTCGACCACCCGCCAGTAGGCGCGACAAATGGCGTCTGCTAGAGCTGGTGGGTAGCATTGTGACAGCTTGGTGTTGGATCCAGCAACTTCTTCATGAGCGTGACTATGGTCGCACTCTGCCTGAAGCTCTTCCACGAAGTAGGGGTGTGTAGCCAAAAAGCGCACCCTCTTCTGCATCAAGCCACCTCGCTTGCCGGTCAGGCCGTACATGCATAAGCATGAGGTGGTCTCGAAGAACTTCTTGCGAAGGCGTACGATCTCCGGTTGTTGCCACGAAGATGCAGTCGCTGGGTTCTCTGCTACAGCATGCGCTCCTCTGGAGACCTGGGACTCGAAGACGTTCTCCGTGAGCTTCAGGAACGGCTTGTCCTGGTTCTGCAAAGCTTCGAGGGCCTCAGGGTCGTCCTTATAGTTGACGTTGGACTGCAAGATCGACCATGGAGTACATGGATACTCGACCAGGGCCAAGCGTGGGTTGGCGCGTTTGAGCAAGTCCAAAAGCCAGCGCCTCATCTTGCGCTGCCGGAGGTCAATGCCGTAGCGGATGTCTACAGGCTGCAATGCCTTCATCCTCCACAAGGTCACACCACGGACGGTGATCATGCTGGAGCCGCCAAAGATCTCGATGAGGTCGAAGCGGAAGTGCTTGCGGGGCCACCTGCCTCGCGTGAAGCGCTCCTGGATGATCTTCTTGTGGAGCTTCGATGTAGCCAAAGCATCGCGAGCCATGCTCTGCATTCTCTTCCTCTGACCAGGCTTGAGCTTGACGCGAGGTGCGTCAGGCGTCTCTGAGCTCAGCCATCGAAACTCTTTCTGGAAGTGAGGGAGCTGGTGCTGTGGATCTCCATGACGCTCATGTCGTCCTCGCTGTCCAGCGAAAACGTCTCCGCCTTCTTCTTGACGACCGGCTTCTTGTCGGCCTTGTTGCGATAGGTCGTCGATGGAGTCGGAGCCGGTGTAGTCCCGTAGGCTGCTTCCATAGATGTTGGATATGAGGAAGAGGAGTATGCAGAGGATTTTGTAGAAGAGACCTTGCGAGCTGTTGCTCCCTTGATGACCTTCCCGCCTGGACGATCTCTGATGCCCACGTACACCTTGTACGTTGTGACCGTCTCCGCGGTGATCGGCACCTGATAGTCCAGACCCTTCCACACGCTGCCGCAGGTTATGCATTCCAAGAACTTGCCATGCGCGTTGCCATACCTGCGGCCATGTTCGACTAGATGAGGGCAGTTCTTCGGCTCCATCTCGTAGGCCATCGCCAGTGGAAGTGGTGTCTGGCCCTTGGCGCGTGTCGATGCCGGCGGAAGTGCCGGTGGGAGGTCCTGAGCCTGGATAGTCTCCTTCTGCAAGATCGCCTCCATGTAGGCCATGAGGGCTGGTGAGCGGTACTTGAGCTCTCGAACCACTTTGGTGGTATTGACCCAATGCACCATTGCCGCCAGCGCCTTCATGAGCTGGTCCACGAGCTGCCGCCATCGCCGAAGGGATCTCTCCTTCTTCTCGGTGGGCATGGCGAGCTTGCAGGCTGCTTGAATCCGAATTGCTTCGATTCGGGAACTCATTGATGGATGGCTGAAACACTTGATCATGTCGATTGAGAGGCAGGTCCGGAGGCTTGACTGAAGTGTCCATTGACCTTTGGAACCTCTTCTGAACATGAGCCTTGAGTGACTTTGGGTGGACCTTCAAACATTGGCCTTCGATGTTCGCCTCGACCCCAATGTGATCGGCTGGTGCACGAACGGAGTCGAACGACACGGAGGGGTCGCAACCAAAGCCGACGAGGATGGTGATGCCGGTCCAAGGCTCTTCATGAACATGATCATCCCAAACATCGATTGAGGGTTCCCCATAACCATCTTTGTAGGTGACCCGAAGTGGTTGAAGTTCTTTGGGATCAGGGCCATCTACGACTTCCTGAGGATGAAATCTGGTTGTCCTGGGAGTGCGATGATGTCGTACATATAGAAGTGGATGCTCCAAAGAGTACTCCCAAACATCACCAGGGACCAAACAGGGTGTCCTTGATGTAGCTCCCGTAGAGTTCATGGGGTCATCCTCAGGATTGTAGATGTGGGTGCACTGCTCAGGCCGGACAGCGGTCGCCGTATAGGCTTTTCCTGACATCCAAAGGGCTCCCGCGTAGTGATCACGGGTCTTGACCTTTCCTTGAGGCCATCCGTCAGGAGGGAAATCGTCCACGGCTACCACAAGGTGGCCTGTGACGTCGATGAAAAGGTCGGCCTGAGCGCCAACTGCCTTCAGGATCAGCTTCTGGCCGGCAACGTCCACCACTGCTTCCATGAAGCGAAGCCAATCTTGGCCAGCCAACCAGGGGATGCGGTTCTGCTCGGGACGTCGGTCCTCCAGGCTGGAGGTCTTGATGATCATGGCCACTCCGCCGATCCCGATGGGAATGTGGAACCTCTGGTGGGAGATCCGTGCTTCGCCAGGGCCAAACCTGTATGACTCCTCTTCAGGCGTGATGAGGGCCTTGACGTTGTGCTTCTTCCGGAGGATCTCCATGGCATAGTCCAGATGTCCACGGCCTCCAACGGTGTTCTCACAAGCAGTATCGATGGTTAGATACGCCACGCCATCCCGCACACTCGGGGCGAGCCGAGTGTTCGCCAGCACGCTGCGGGGTACTCCAAGGAGTTGTCCATGATCGTCGTGGCCAAGGTGAGGTCGTTGGAGTTCCTGCAAGCTTGGTCCTTGGCGTGTGACCGCCATGACCACACGCATCTCGTCGAGGTCAAAGGTGGCCTCGGCTTCCTGGTTGAGCACGCCCCAAACGGAGTCCTTGGTGTCGGGGGGCTTGATGCCTAAGACGTCGAATGCCTCTCGCACGGCTTCTGGAGCTGTGGCCGTGTGAGCTGAAGCTTTCTCCTTTTCCTTCTTGGCCTCAACCCGATGTTGGATGAGAGCTGAGGCGGTGAAGACATCCATTGGCTTCTTCGAAGGAGGTGTCACCGTCTCGGTCGGCGAGTCCTTGGAGTGGAACTTCTTCTTGATGCGGTTCACTCCATGGATGACTTCCTCGGCCTCTGGCTTGGTGAGCTCGGGGTAGTGCTCGGACTTCTGCTCCTTCTTGGCCTGGGCCGCATAGGCGGTGCTGCTTTGGTCTGCTGCGCCACTGTGTGTAGTCCAGGCCTCATTGGCATCTTGCTCCCAATCCTGCCATTCCATCCAAACATCGTCGTAGTAGAGGTCATCGTTCTCCGGGTTCTCATCGTCGGCAAGGTCGATGGTGACGGTCTCATTGGCCTTGTTCGGTCCGCGGCAGGCAGGGTCGCCACGCCAGTGACCCAACTGGCCACAGTCGCCACATGCGGTTTTCTTCTTGAGCTCGTCGAGCGACATGCCGCGGGCATGGCCAGAGCCACCAGAGCCCTTGCCCTTCTAGCCAGAACTCTTACCTCCGGAGCCGGAGGATGAGTCACGTCCCTTGCCTTTGCCCTTGCCGCCTGATCCTTTCTTGCCCTTGCCCTTGCCCGTGTAGAAGCCACGAGCCTTCACCGCTTTGGCCAGTTTGGCACGGTTCTCACGGTGAGTGGCAAAGACTTCATGAAGTTCTCGGGCAAGTCCTTCGGGCATCCATTCCGGGGTGTCATAGTCGGCAAGGCGCTCGATGGGGTCCTCATAGTACAACCAATCCTCCAAGTCCATCGATGCGAGGTCGGTTGAGGAGGTTGCGTATTGGGCGTCATCTCCTTGTCCCTGAGCTTCGTGTGCTTGCCGCTTGCCCGCGCCCTTCGAGTGGTCGAAGTTCCGGCGAGGAGCGGAAACCATCGTCTGCGGGTAGAGGAGTTCCACCGCCTGCTTCACCTTCTTCCAGTTGTATTCGCCTCCTGTCCTCAGGAGGATGTTCGCCCTTCTCTCAAACGAGCAGCCAGAGTGCTCGAAGAAGAAGTACACCATGATCTCATCCGGCAGGGTGAGATCTGATTCAGCGCAAAGCCGCGCTGCTCGATCCATCTGGTCCGCAACCTCGGTGAGCGTGGAGTTGCGGTCCACCTGGAGCTGGAAGAAGGACTTCATGGCACCTCCGATGAGGTGCATCCGCTTCTCGGCGAACTTGTCCTTGAGCACCTGCACGAGAACCTTCCAGCCGTCGGTCACGCCGAAGGTCTTGGCCGGAATGCCTTCCAGGTAGGCGGCTGCATCGCCCTCCAAGGCAGCATGCAATCGAAGTCCGATCTCCTCGGGCCCGATGATGTGCTTGGCGATCTCGATGTAGCTATCGATCTTCTGCAGCCACTGCTTGAAGGCCTTGGGGTTCTTCTTGATGTTACCATCAAAGCTGGGTGCTTGTGGCAAGTTTCCACGAGGTCGATGCCGCCCTGTGGCGTCCTCTGATGCCGAAGTCCTCGATGAGGGTGAAGCGGGACTCTTCTCAGCGACGGAGTGGCGCGAGGCCGGACTCTTGCGTCCTTCGGATGCCGGAGAAGTCGGATTCCGGCGTCCTGCATCGCCAGGGGGCGGTGCCAGCGCCTCTTCCGTCCTAGGGCCGTTGCGACCCAGTCTGCGTCCACCACGGGGTCCGGTGGCGTAGAGCTGCACCAACTCGTCCTCTTCGTCGAAGTCGTAGTTGAAGCCGTCTTCCACCAGGACGTCGCTGTCGTGGTAGTCCATGTTGTAGTCCGCTGCCGCCGGTGCCGCTGCCTGTTCTGGTAGGTCACCTTCAGCAGGAGGTAGGGTGCCGCCAGCGGCGACCGAAGAGCGAAGCGGCGCGCCGAAGACGTCAGCCGCCATGGGCATGCGGGAGCGAGCCACGCGGATCGGCTCGCTCCGCTACCAATGCAAGAGCGGGGATTCACAACCCGGGCCGGGGGGGCCATAGTGCCGCAGTTGCACATGCGGTCTTTTTCGAGCGACTCAAGGGCCCTGCGGTAAGCGGGCTCAGTGCAAACGTTCAAAAGATCCTATGGACCTGTGGGACATGAATGCTCAGCAAATCTGCACTTGCTACAAGTAGCAATGGCCTCCACTCCTAGTAGCGTCCTTGCTACTAGTAGCGATGCCCTTTGTTCCTAGTAGCGTCCGCTAGGGACGGTCCTGAAATCCACGATGGATCCCTGGACATCATCGCCCTCGAGGCACATCATCGCCACAAACTCCGGGACCGACTTCTCAGGCCTCACGACGCAAAGCGTCGACGGATGGCGTCTCTGGCTTTACATTGTGTTGAGCAGGGCTTCCGTTGCAAAGACATGTTGGGCAGGAACGCACCCTTCTTTTTACATTCATCCTCAGTCTTCTTTATTTCACGTCAATCACATCAACTGCTAAGGGTACTGCACTGGAGTTGACAAAGGAGTGCGAAAAGGAAATTGATGGAAATTGTGTTTCGGAAATGGCGGGGTGAACCTACAAGCAGGCTCCGAATACCGCCTGCTGTCATTCCATATACCAAGACTTGACGACGTGCCTTCCCGTATGTTCGATCTTTGAAACAGGTTGTTTAAGTTGGTCCCTGTGCTGCCTATTTCTGGGCAACAATCCAGCACCATGGTCTTTCATGCTTAAAAAAAATAACATAATAACAATAATACGATTTAAAAAAAAAAAGAACGAATCGAACGTCGGTCTCACGGACTCCGGGCCGGAACAGCCGCCGGGGCGGGTCGTAGCGGGGGAAGTGGCGGCCCTGGCGACGCCAAATTTCCACCGTCTCCTGGAGAGCAGGAAAAAACACAACGAAAAAGGGAATGTATTTTATAAAAATATATATAGCTATAGCTATGTAGCTAGTACCTTACTTAAGTTACTAGTAAAGACGCAGGATAGTTCACACTATTCTATTCATTTGGTTCTTGGATTTGATTTTTTGGCAAACTTATATATGTCTATATATAACTATAGCAAGTAGGACTTGAATTACACATTTAGGCATCCTTGTGGCATCCTCAAAGCAGCCAAAAAGGAGGCAATTCAAAGAGGTCGAAGCCAAAAATGTTTGTGATTCAGCCAGCGTGGAAAACAATTATCCCATGACAAACTACAAATCTCTCAAAGTCGTCCATGTTTCGAAAAAACAAGGCCATTCAACCCAAACATGGCATCTACCGTCGGCAAGCAAGCTTGGAGACCACTGCTGCAAGGTTGGATGTCATTGCTCTTTTCTCGACTGTTCTTTCTCGACACTCTTGGCTGTCTCGACCATCCTTCTCGAGATCAGTGGCCATGCAGCCGGAGTCCGCATCCTCAACCTGATACGATCTGATACGGTCGTTCTTTGCCAACTCAGAGTGATGGGATTGGGGACGAGATGGGTGTGGAGAAGGCTCTCAGATCTCTGAATGAGTGTTCGATGGTTTTGTTGATACCCAGGCTTCTAGACATAGCCTCCAGCAGGCTGCTTGTTTGAAGGGCTGACGCCGCAAGAATTCCCACAAATGGCGGACAGCTTGGCCGCTGCATGGCCTGTCCCGCATAGGCGAAGCTCTTCATGTCCAAAAGGCCCAGCACACCAATCAACGAGGCCTCCAACCATGAAAGGGAATTGAATCGAACCCTTTGAAGTTATAAATAAATGTGTTTTTCATGCGCTTTATCAAACATGCAAAAAGGGTTTTGGCACGTGAAAAGGGGTCACGGAAGCGGAAACAACTGCAGAGTCACTACTTGCAATGAAGTGTGTGCGTGTGTGTGGAACCCTTGGAGTCACAGGGAACCCGTTGGTTTTCAGGGCGACACAGCATTTCACTGGGACGGTGTCCAATGAAGCTACCAGTGAAATGGGATATCCAGCTTGGCCAGCTGGATGCACCGGTTTTTACTCAATTGGGCGATTCTCATGTCTCGCCTGCAAACAGGCAGGGTTCGTCGGCAGACTTGTCTGTCGGTCCTCT